GCACTATTTTTGTGAAAAGTCTTAGTTCAAATAATGCCTTTTTTGTTTAGTTTAACTAAAAACGTAGTTGCGCATAAATTTGTCACTAACATTGTTACAAATTACAGCAATATATCATGAGCAATTATTTTTGCCAAGAATTTCTGCATAAAAACAATAAAAATATGTGCCAAATTTTCAAAGTTATTTATTATGAACTGTGTCAATACTTCTTACCCTTTTCTTTTGAAATATTAGTGCTTTTATTTTAAATAATGATTAAAAGAATTAGTGCAATATTTGTTACTCAACAATATTAGATATTTTTAATAATTTAGTTAATGAATTTAATAGACTGGATTTTTTAAACAAATTATTTAATTTTTGAAATTTTGATCACTTATTGCTCAATTATACTAAACTATAGATATTACATTGAAAATTATCACATCAATTATGATTCAAAAGAAGAATACGCATGAGTACTAAGATTTTTGGCACTATAAAAAAGCATCTAAATTACTTTTCTGACTTTACAGACTTTATAAATCTTATTCTATGATATTTTTCCGCAAAGTTCTTCCTTCTACTTTACTCTGAATGTGCTTATAAATTAGAATTTAAGTTAAATCAAAAAAATTTTTGATAATTTAAATCAACAAACGCATGCAATATATTTGATTTATACTGCTCAAGGAAAGTAAAAAATTTTCCAACTTTTTTGATATTTTGAATTGTATTTTTTGACTTTCATTTTTTTCAAATTTACTTATCGAGACAATAGTTAGTTATAACAATTTTGCTTTATTTTTCACTCATTATATGGCATATCATTTTATGTAATATTAATGCTCTTTACATTTCATACTGAAGCAAATTTTGCTAATTTTGACATATGCTACCATTTGCACATTGTGTTACTTTCAGTCTTCATCAGTACCTCTGTCTATTAGTTCTGCTACAAACAATTTTGCAGTATCTTAAAATCGTTTATATGATAGAAATCTTAAAACTTTTCACTGTTTTAACAGAATATCATTAAAATTTCGATGTTTTCTGTAAATTTAATCCAATTGCAAAACTAATAATGACCATTATCTATTTGGAATCTAATGGAAATATCCTTCAAATATATTCCATTAGAATAATCGTTAAATGTTTCTTTTTTCATCTAACCTTAGTTTAGTTGATTGTTAACAAATATCCATGCAGTAAGCTATGAGTCTAAATCAGTTAGACTTTTAATTTCATATCAAGAAGATTTTTAAAATTTTATGAAGTGTAAAAATATATAATATGACAGTCTATAATGTAAGAAGCAAATTTTTGCATCATTTCAGCATTTTTATTTTGCTTTCATTATAGCACATATCTGATGAGTAATTTACACCACTATTACTTACTATTTACCAATATAATGATAATAATGCCACTATTATTATCATTATATTAAATTCAGGCTTCAGTTTTATCCATTTCATGAATAAAGGTGGCAAGGATCAGAGCAATTTATATTTACAAATTTCATTACTTTATTAGACACAATGTATTTTTAAACTGTATGATTTCATATTAAAAAATGAAGTAAAGTATAAATGCATTATTATCCAATATATACTAACCATGTCTTTTAATTGCTCAAAAAATTTCAGACTTTTACAGAAGTGTAATCGCTTATTTTCTCAGTTAATTGTATCATTCTGGAATCGTCCAGCATGCAAAATATTTAAATCTGTCACAGCTATTTTCTGCACTAAATTGGTATAACTATTAAAATAATAATGGATTACTTGTGGTCTTGGCGTGATTACGTTTTTTATGGCATGTGCTCTTGCGGTGCTTCAACGGTGGATTTCGATCCTGCCACCAGTTTGCAGTGAGCCAATTTTCTTTTTTTATTTATAAAACTATAAAATATATCAAAGTTTTGACTTGAAATAAACTGACTTGTAACTTTTTTATTATTGCTTCTACAATTTTGTATGGTTGTTATGGTTGTTGTTTTGATTCTGTTAAAAATAAGCTCAAAACCATGAGTACTATGCATGTTTAAAAAAATAATTAAAAACCAATTCTTACATTTTTTGTTTCTTAAAAATGTTAATTTTTAAGCAATTCAATTTAAGAAAAAGTAATGTAGAGTTAATTTGAACAAGTAGGCCTGAAATTTATAAATTTAGCCAGAAAAAATTTGCTTGAGTTGGATTTAGCTTAGCATTTTAAACCATTTTTATCTCATAACTAACCGTTTCACTCAAATAATTGCATTGAAATGGCCGAACAAACGACGAACCATAAACATTTTATTGCGCATACTTTGGATCATAAAATTGAAATATATTCAGTGCTCAAATACTCATTATTAGAAAACTTTTTAATTACCATCAGCCTTTCAGATGAAGTGAACAATTAAAAGATTAGTTCTTACGTTCCATTTTATCAGAAATTTTACCTGACAATAATGTTTAAAACCTAAGATTAAGGGCACGGTTTCCAAAATCCAAAATCATGTCTTTTTGGTTGAACAGTTCAACCAAATTGGTAGAAAAACTTTCAGAATTGCTTTTGTATTAATAAATTTGCAGTTTTTCAACTCTGTAGCAGTTTTTCAACTCTGTACCAAGAATATTAGCTTTCTATGTTTTTTATTTCTTATAACTTTATTCTTAATATTGAATTATTATTATGAGCTAAAAATAAGGTCGTACTTTCGTTGCAGATTCCGTAAACAGTTTTCGTTCCGATAAAATACTTTGACAGCCGTATATTTAAATGATTTTTTGCTCAAAATATAATATTTTCAGAGTTTATTTGACGATAGATACTGGGTAGCAAAAATGCAGAAATTGTTCATAAGATGTAATAAGTAATTTAAATTGGAAAGTGACATACTTCTAACAGAAATTCTTGTAAATTTACTTTATTTAAGAATAGAAGTTTGGTGGATTAGTTTGAAAAAACATGTTTCTACTATATTAATCAACATAATGCAACCAATTTTTAACAAAAATTTGAAAAGTAATTAATTCCGAATGGGCATTGAAATCTTGTAAAAACCTGCCAAACTAATTTCATTTGTATAGCAATCAATGGGAAGAAATTTTAAAATATGAATTATAATTAACAATTTTTTGATTTCTATAAATTTTGAAACTCATATGCTAGGTAAACTAAGAATTTAATACTTGAAAAAGATTTACTTGTGAAGTTAATAATTTCAAACCAGACATTTCTTAACAAAAGTGATGATGAATGTAGTAAATAATTAGTATCTGTCATTCTAGAGCTATTCTCTTTTTATTCTTGTTCATTTGTGATTGTAGAAATGTTTACTTGATGAATATAATTCTTAAAGATAGATCAAATTCAGAGAAACTTTGAAAAAAAAAATACAATGTTATATCAGCACTAATCACGAGTAATATTTTGAGTATTTACAATTAATATTTCATTAGCTGATCAGATTATGTAGATATAATTTGTTTTACAGCATAAATTCATTGGAATTTTAATTTATCTCGATTAATTATTATAACTTTAAGTAAACATTAAGGTTTTTATATTTAATCAACAAATAGAAGTTCATTCGGTTAATGAAAATTCAGGTTTTAATTTTTTTCTATATATTAACTATTTTCGCCAAGAATATATCCAATACTGTGCACGAAAAAAATTTTTAAAAATGAACAACGCAAAAGCTTGATCTTATTTTCAATTATTATTTTACATTAAGAGACTTATTTGATCAGCCTCTAATCTATAGAATATTATGGAACAAATTTTTGTCATTTTTGTTGGTGATTGATTTTCATTTCAGTTTTTTAGTTTTGCCCAATTAAATTTTGTTCCTGTTTTCCACCTAATTATGGTTTTCACTCAATGTTCGTTGTTTTGGTTTTAAATTAACTATTAAATCAACTAATTGCCTAAGTGCAAAATAATATTAAATTTCTCAGAATACAGTATGTTGTGAAAATCCTGAAAGATTAAGTAATAATACAGTTATTATCATGAAGATTTGCTGCATATGAAATATAGTCGTATGTTTTGAAACTATAATAAAAAAATCAGTGAATTATTACTATTAAAACGTAATCAAAACTATTAAAAGTTCGTTTCAAAATTTGAAAAGCTTTTGAATTTGATATTCTAGGTCATATATGTTTGTTGTTTTTATTTACTCGTAATTTATTACGTTTTAAAAAATAACTTCATTATTTCAGAATGGATTCGTTACCTCATCTTACAAGTTACAGGTTTGTGCTATCGTTTAACGACAATTATCAAGCATTTTACCCTGTGCTTTTGCTATACTTTTAAAAAAATTGGGAAAAATTGATGTCTTATAAAAATTTCTCTTTACATTGTTGCCTAATTATGATTTCAAATTCGCTGCTACAAAGGGTCTGCACTAATAATACTTAATCACATGTATTTTATAATTAATGATTTAAGTTTAATCATATTTATCACACATCTCCACTCTAGTTTTTTTGATTTTTTGTTTTCATAACTGCCTTCTTTATTACAATTAGGAAAATGATCCACAACAAACATGGATAATATGAGTTGAATCATATTGACTCATTGATGAAAAGCTCTTAATAATTATTGCATAACAAAGAAATGATAAGAAAAGTTAGGGAAAATTATGAGATTTCAGATACTAATCTCAGTATGTTTTTGTTGCATCATTAAAACATAATTCTTATTTACATCACGCTTATTTTCATGCTTGATGAATTAACAGTTACCTTGCAGTTTTATTATTTTTTAGTTAATCACTGAAAAGTATACAGCAGCTAAGCTTAATACATAAGTGAAAAATGAAGCAAATTAAGTTCAAAAATTAAGTATTGATAATTGACATCAAGTATAAAAGCGACATTTGAGTTCTTAAGTTAAAAAATATCAGTTGAATTTAGAATGTAATATTTCATTCGAATTTAATTTTTTAAATTCAGAAAGTAATTTTAACAAATATGAATATATATATCGATATCACAAGGAGGTTATTCTTTTCACAAAGTCATTGATTCTAGAGCTAAATCGTATTCTGGCATTCTCGCTGCACTCGCTTCACGCAATCCAAAGTATATATACTCTTGAATCCCTTCGAAGAGTACCGCCATATAAGTGCATTTCTCGATTGTTAGTGGCTGACTTTGCTGAATTTCTAGTCCTACCACATCAAGAAACTTTTCAACTTCTTCTGCCACAGATTTCATGATATTCTCATCGGTCTCAACGATCTTGAGATCATCCACGAACAAGAGTTGATTTGTTATGTGGAACCGCTAACTTTGGGTGCCTTATATTGAGTCAACGGCTCAAAGAGTCCATGCACAGGACGAATAGCAGCGGAGAAATGTGACCACCTTGGAGGATTCCTCGTTGTATTTTCTTTTCCATTGTTCTTCATGACTACTGCCATCTGGATGTAGGGCTTTTCAGAAACCTACTGATCCACGATGGCATGTTAAGCCTTTCAATGCACTTAATCAGGTGCTCGTATAAAAGCCTTCGATCCATTTATTTAATATCATACCACGTAATATAGAGCCAATTCCTGTGTTCCTGAAAACCGTCAGGTTCAACTGTGCCTTCGCACGTTGAAGCTGGGTAACAGTTACTAAATGGTTCTCTGCAAGTAACCTCATGGCAACATCCAACTGCATGACGTGTGCTACATATTTCATTGTTAACTTGTAAAGGTTTGACATAGAAGTTATTGGCTTAAAATCGCTGCCTTTACCTAGGATACCTTTTAGCATTAGGTAGGTAGTTCATTTGTAAAACCACGGATCCTGTTCTTTCCCATCTAGGCAAATCCGACTATTTTGTACAAGTCTGAATGCAAGGTTATGCAGTTTTTTAATGAAGAAGTTATAGATTCCATCAGGGACCGCTGCCTTCCAGTTGAGCAAATAGGAGATTAACTTCCTAAATTCGGTTTTAGAGGAGAAAGTATCATCCACTTCATGACCTGGAACGAATTCTCCTAGATATTCATTGTGCCGGATATTGTCATCTTTTCCCATCCCGGAGTTCCACATCATACCCCGAAAATCCCTGATTTCCTCTGCCCTTACATTGTGGAACAGATTGTTCTTCGGTTTATCTGAACAGCTCGAGTCTGGCGCTTCAAATTTCAAATGCGCATCGGGTCTCATAACTTTTAATTTTACTTTTGTAAATCCACACATGGCCTGTCAATATGCTTCATAACAGTCACGCTTAGAAGCAAGCATGAGATTCATCTCCCTCATACATTTTTTGGCTTTCTCTAGGTCTTTATCTCCAAGTTTTTCATCAGTCAATGTCCGTTCTATGAGGTATTTATGGAAATTCAACAAGCTTAACTTCTTTTCTATGCTTGCCTTCCACCCCGTTGGCTTCTTCTCTAGCCTTATCATGTCTTCATAATACTGTTGTGCTACCTGCAACTTCCTTGCAATATCGGTTATTGACTTGGAAGGATTCTGTGTAGCATACTCACCCACCGCTTGGTTTACTAGTCCAAATATGAGCGGGTCCACGCTCATCGATGCTGTTTTTTGCGTCCATTTTGTCTGGTTTATCTCATATCTCTGTACGTCTCGCATCAGCACTAGATATTTTTCCTTCACATCCAGATAAACCTTAGACTCATGTAGCGTATTTTCTTCGAAATGCGTAATTTGTGAATTGACGTTTCGTGGATTCGTCCAAGAACCGTTTCTGTGAGCACGGACGACCTGCAATACTGGTGATCACAGAATTTGTTTGCTTCTTCAGCTCTTCGAGGGTTCTAGCACACAAAAAACTTCTCGCCATACAAAGAACGACACAATGGCTATCCCGCTCTCGGTATCCTCCAGAAACGGTCAAGAACCGCTTTCAACACTTCCTCTTGCCCAGCTACTCTGTTGAACCTCGATTTCTCGAATGAGTGCTTCGAGCGTAATCATCCTGCTGCTTTCTGGCTCTGGTAAACTAGCAGAGTGCTCTCTTCATCTTTCACGGAGCTTTTCACAACCTCTTCTCTTTTCCCATAGTTTTCTATTGTGATTCCAGATGCGATTCTTGTATCCTGACTGCAAATCAGCTCTGTATTTGTGTTTAGGGTTTCGAACTTTTTGCAGCAATTTTTCCATCCTCTCTGTTCATGATATGTGTATGAGCTTATTTTTTCCTTTGCTCGTTTTTGTTCCTTCAGAAATACTACATATATATATATATATATAAAATAAACTTACAGCATAATTTAAGGCAAAAGATCCGATACATTTTCACATGGTGAATATATTAAACTGATATTAACTTTAATTAAAGCTGACATTTTTTAAAATGAACAGAACAGTTTTAGAATGAGACATTTAGAAATAATCCTATCATGTAATACACATGAAACTTTTTCGTTGGTGAAAATTGTCGAAGAAAAAGTTATTTTACAACGAACTATGTGAGCAAAGAATAAAGTCAAATCCTGAAATTTATTTATTTGATTCTGCTATTTTAACTCAATTTCTTTCTTCAGTCTTGGTAAGTAGGAAATACCATTTCAAAACGACAGTCAAAAAAATTGTGAAAAAAAGAGTAGAGAGCGGATAATTTTGCGCAATAAAGAATAAAAATTGTGAATTTTAATGCCAAAATATTTATTTAAGCGTTTATTTCAAGTTTATGCATGAGATATAATCAATTAGTGTAGTTATGCGTAAGATTTGAGTTTTTGTATGAGATACAATGGATCAGTGTCGTGTAGCAATGCAGTCAAGTGAAGATCAAGACCACAAAACCAGAATATCTCGAATGTATTCACATTACTATTTCTTTGTTCCTGCGAAACTCCAACGTAATTAATAACAATTTTTTTGTTTAAAAAAAGAGCTAATTATGAAACTATGCTAATACTTGCAATAGTAATGAGATCATTATTACCATTTCGTGCAATCCTTTCACAATTTTCGCTTTGTTTTTAATTAGTAAAATGACAATCATTAAAATTTATGAAAGCTTTGCTATTCTCTTTATTCTTAACATTAATATTCAATGATAAATTTCGTCACATTTAAAAATCTTTCAAATACTAATTCAGAAATGAAAAGCCGTAAAGTAATATCAATAGCTGAAAAGTTTGTAAAATAAATATTAAGAAAGTCTGAATCTGGCTTTATCGTTATTCTTAATAGATTAAAGAATATCGTTTCAAATACTAGACAATAAATAAACTGAAAACAAAGACAAATACTGGATTAAAATAAAAATTCACGCCAACAGACTAAACGTGAGACGTATGCTATGGCAGGAGGTGAGAGTAAATATGAGTACAAGACAATATTAGCTTGCTTACTCATTCGCTTTCTTACTTGTGATTAAAGATGTGTACAACACTGAAAAAGTATTTCTCAGTCCACTTTCATTTCTTTAATTGTTTTCACTACTAATTTTGCATAACTTTTAGCAATTAGTATGACTGAAAATCCGAACGGAAGATTATATAAATTGATGGTAGAGCTAATCGAAAAAAAAGAACGTGACTTAAAGAGCAGGACAAAAAAATTCTAATAGCAATTGGATATTGATAAATATTCATAAGAGTAAACTACTTGGCTTTATATTTGTAATTTATTATTATAAATATTAATGATTAATATTAATAGTAATTGACTGCAGACAAAAAATGATATTAATGTTAATATTATCATTACTATTATTAGTTCTAAATTACAAATTGCTTTGATTTTTATTTATTTATTCAATTGTAAATATAAATAATAATTATTTACAATCATTACCCTCTTTACAATCATTTCGCTATACTAATATGCAATCTTTATAATTTATTTGTCAAGTATGATTAAGCAAATTGTTCATTGTTTATTTCTTCGCTTATTCCTTTAAATATGCGAATGATTTGTACAAAAAGATGACAAACTTCATTTTAAGAAGTCAACGAAAATGTAATCTTATAATGAAAAGATTATTAATTATTATCATCTTTCCATCACAATCAATTATTTTACATAATTATTTATGTATGCACTATTCTTAATTTCAACATCTTTTTCAAGGTCTTCTCGACGATTACTTTCAGTTATGAAAACAGTTGAATAGAGATAATGCGTTTAATTAGAGGAAAAAAGAAAGGCGATTTCCGGTAATAAAAGTTTAGTGTGTCAGTTTTAATGTGAGTGATAATGGCTGAAAAAATAACTAAGAATTACAAACATTGAACAATAAAATTGTTTTAGCTGCCAATTTATCGTTTTGGTTCAACTTATTATTTTTTAAAAAACGTATTGTATTATTACTACCACTGGCACCTGTCCAGCCAGCTGTATTCTTTCTCAATGCATTCATTACCTTAAACGGAAATGGCACTACAATATTTCTATTTGAAAATATGCTTTAGAAAAGTATTAAAGAAGGCAATTTCTTTTGAAATTTTGAGAGCGAAAATTTTATAAGAAATTAATACGAATGTAAGCGAAGTAAATAAATGAAAATGATGAAAAGTTGAAATGCTGACTAAAGATTTAAGATGTAACAAAAATTTAGTGCACCAAAAGGAATATTTGCAAATACTTCAATTTTGTTCATTATGATTGACTCAAAATGAAGGATGTAATTAAAAAGTAAGTAATACTTTAATTTTTTCTATGCAATTTTTATATATCATTCACTTTTTGCTAATAAATTTTTTTATCATTTTCTTATGTTTGTTTGAGAATATTTCAAATTTTGTCACAAAATTGTTCTAAATGTGGTAAAGTTTTCTTGTATTAATCATCATCCATCTTCTTTTGCTCAACAAAATGCACAATTTCACCTGTGACCAAAAAATTTCCTTCCTTTTTCACTTCTTTGATATTGTTAATCTTTCACATAATTCTAATAAATCTTTTGCTCATTTATCTTTGTATTAAGAATAAAGAAAGAAATAGTCATTTCTTGTAAAGGTTATTACACATCTATTAATTAAAATTCGTAGCAAAGGCGTGCAGCAACAATAAAACTTCTTCTAAATTATTTCCAACTCAATATGTATCTATTCTTTTTCTTACTATTGCATTTTCTTAATCTTTATCAAGGTTTTTTTTTTATCATTATGAATGATGTGTATATTTAAAAAATGCAATTTTTTTTTTCTAATTTTACTTTAATTTGTTTAAGTGTGATATGTTTTGCTTTTAAAATTAGCCTATCAAATAATTCATTAGTAGTCATCGTTGTAATCGAAAAATGAATATGCAGAGTTCTTAATTTAAACTTCAATTTAATCTCGTTTAATCCTTCTCAAAGTCAGAAAATTTTTAGAATGTATAATCTTGCTTTTCTGCTTTCATTTCCTGCATAAATTGTGAACCTTAAGCATATTATAGAATATATCCTTTTTTAAGTAATATTAAAACTGAACTTTTATTGATATGTTTTACTAAATAGGCAAATATTTAAAAGTACAGTTATCAACGAATATTTTAGCTATTTCCTGAAAAGTAGTATAAACTGACTGCAAGATTACCAAAACTAGTATTCATATTTCATTTCAAATCTTAAAATTTTTAGTGATGTAGCTCAAAATCTGAGCTTTATCAATTTAGTTTTCCTAAATTCTTTTTTTCCGTCAACTAACAAGCGGTTGAGAATTATTTGCAAAGCTTCACATTTCATATACATTTTCAACTGCTGTAGTCGATTCACTGTCGCCAGTATATGCATTTTAGTATAATTATTGTCACCAAATTAGTGATTCAACGATGATGGTATGCAAACTTTCTATCTTATTTCTCTTTATCCCTAGAGGCTGCAGGTCAGCAATCGAAGTTCTTCATATTGTTTGGAATTCGAAGTTGACGATCGTATCTTTGAATTCTTATATATTAAACAAATGATTAGGATTTTGAAAATGACAAGTAGGCAAAACTATTTTTAGCCGTATATAAGTCTTTGTAACTGAAACTAGTTCTTAATTTTAATAATTTTAACTACTACAGCACTTGAAGAATAATCATAGTGCTAGACTTGAGCACATGTTTTTACTTTTTCCTTGTAAAGTTCTTGTTTGCAGTCACAAACTCAATTCGAAGACAAAAATCCTTGTGGTATTTTCTGAAAACATATATTAATATCAACCATATTACTTGTAAATCGTGAATATTTGCTCGCTTCAAAAGTATAAGAAATTTTTAGAGTAAAAATATGTGAAGTTGGGGGCCTTAAT